CGATGGTGTCTTTAACACCCTCAAACAACATCTGCCTATCCCAGGTCCTTGGGAAGGACTCTAGGTGGATAAAAATGCCAAATCCAGTCTAAACATCTGGCTGACTGTGCGACCAACCATCACCACCGCCATCATCATATAATACAAAAGCTGCTGGGGGATCCTGGCTACTTCTTCTTTCCTAGCTCACAGACGTGAGCAAATTTGGGGTGCAATTAGCCAGTCCGGCATAGTGGTTAAGACCCCAGGCTAGAAACCAGGAGGCTGTGACTTCCAGTCCCACCTTAGGCATGAAAGCCAGCTAGGGAACCTCGGGCCAGTCGTTCTCTGTCAGCCCTAGGAAGAAGGCAATGGCAAGCCACTTCCAAAAGACCTTGCCAAGAAAACTGCAGGGACTAGTCCAGGCAGTCCCCAGGAGTAAAAAACTGACTTGAAAGTGCCATTGCCCTGAGACAGGGTTTCCCAAGCTTTGAGGGGTATCTTCTTTGGTGAGGTGCAGGCAGAGTCCACAGGAGATGGGAAGGTGTTTATTTTTTTACGTCCTTATTAAAAATAAAGTTTCATTGTACAGTATTGTTTTCGTTGTTCATTTTGGTGTTTGGATTTTTAGGGGAGGCGTGTACATTCAGATTACACGCAAGGGAGGGCTGGCAGAAAAAGGTTAATGAATCCCTGCCCTGAGACGTGTTTTCAAGGCTTGAGGAAATCCCTGAGTCTGTTGACTTGCTAGCCGTGGTGAAGCTTCTGCCTTGTGAAAGGACGGGCAAGGAGTTGTCTTGGGGGTGTGTGTGTGCAGTATTTGGGGAGGGGGAGTTAGCTTGTTGGCTCAGTCTTGTCTTTACGTTGGAATTAAGCAGTGTCGTCATAGAGGGGGGGTCTTCTGGGTTCCGTAGGAGTCACCCTCAGCGGTATCTTCCTGATCAGAGCGAGATGGCACGGTAGGGAGGGAAGAAGAGACGTGTTATGGAGCAGACAGAGCAAAGGGGCAAGGGGAGCTGAAAGACCAGCTCTGTTGGGCCCATTCGCCTGCCTTGTCTGAGTCTTAGCAGTAGCCATTCTTTGAGGTCGACAGTGAGACAAAAGGAGTTGAATTTCCTCTCCTGGATCTGTTGAGGGGCACACCAGGACCTGCCCGTCCACTTCTCCCTTTGAAACCTCTCCATTCCTGCTGAGGATTAGGTACCCCAAACTGGTACATAAGCTAGCCTTCACCAACTCCAGGGCGTCCCTAGTTGAAGAATGAGGTCTGTTCCCAAGGTCCGTCCTTAAGTCGAATTTGTACATAAGCTGGAATAGTATTATTGTATAATACTGTATAAGTACCATTGTGTAATGAACTGAAACCATTGTGTATTTGACTCACATCATTGTGTATCTAACTTGAATTTTGCTACCCTAAGCTCCGTTCTTAACTTATGGGTCATCCGTAAATCTGGCGTTCTTAACCCAGGGACTACCTGTAATTCTGCCTCTCGTTGTAGCCCTGCTATCTGCAGACATCGGGTTGGGGGGGCTTGTGCTAACTTTTTATACTTTCTTTTGTTATTGTTTTATTGTATTATTATAAGATGCAAGTAATATAGTATATCATCTGAGTACAGTAATATTTGTACAGCGATAACTAGAGATTAGGGACGCTATGATGATTTAGATATCTTAAGCCTTTAATGATTAGGAAAAAAATCCCCTCTGTATCCCTGTTAACCGTAATTTCTAAAATGATAATACACTTAAGGTTCCTTTAATTGTACATCTAGAGCTGAGGGGAGCATTGATAAAAGCTGCAAAGTGCATTCAATTGTATGTTATATAATGAAGGTTTCTATTTTAAGCTTAATGCTTAATGCTAAGGTCTCCACGATATTGTTGCTTCTGCATACAGTATTAGAAAAGAAAAGAAAAATCGAAGAAGCTGCTCGAAAAAACAGATGCTTGGTCTCTACTTCCCCCTTCTTTATACCTTGACCAATTTGACTTTCGTGTTTTTAAATGTCCGCCGTGGGTTGCAGGAGAGACGGCCGGGTGGCATTTTGGAAAAAATTACACTATTTTAACTCTCCCCCCATGGCCATCTTGACAATTGCTTTTCCAAACTCAGAGAAGAAGCTTCTATCCCCCTGCTAATTCCTGTTTTGCTTGCTTATCAAAACTATGACATGGCTCTGTGGATTGTTTCCATGAATCCTTATCGTGCAGGATGCGACCAGCCAGTTCTCTAGTGCTCCTGATAAGCTGCATTTTTGGAATGTCAACTTATTCTAAGGATTGTATGTGTTTACGTGGCTGTATAAAAAGCCCTTCCTGGCTTTGCTGGCTGGGGAATTCTGGGAGTCGAAGCCCACCCATCTTAAAGTTCCCAAGTTTGAAAAACCCTGCTTTAAAGCAATTGTCAAGGAAATGAAGGCTCTTGGCTGTGTATTCATTTAGTGTTATGGAGATCTGAATGGGGGGGGG